ACAAGCTTTGAAAACAATTGTCCTTATTTGGAAATACATAATTAAGAATGAACACAAAACCAATTAAGAATGAAAACAAAACCTGGCAAATCCTTGCCACAGTTTTCCCCTACTCAAACAATACAGTGTATTTTAATTTAACCAAATTAAACAAACAAGATAATTATTATAACTTTGCTTTTAATATTGAAAAGCATCAATCTAAACATCCCCAAATAGTAGAGAATTGATTGAATCATGAAAATGTATGTTCTAAGATTTGACGTACATCTGAAAAGAAATGATGTATTTGTAATAAACATGGAAAGACTTTTTAAAAATTCTTAACAAAAACAAGCAATTAATTCACAGACTAAGATTGGGGCTGTAGGATGTAGCCAGTAACTGTGAATTGGGATATTTCTCTTAATCTGTTATGGCCTTCAGTTTTTTAGCCAATAAGTATTGTTAATAATAGTATCTACCCCATAGGATTGTTATGAGAATTACATGACATAATGCATATGAAAATGTTAGAATAGTACTTCCTACATCAATTCCTAACACATTGTTATTAGTAGTAGTTGCTGTTAGTATAACCCTCTAACATCAGGTTTCTTTCACTTCACACAACAGATAAAAGTTCTGTCGAATTTAGATAAGAAAACAATGTAACAAGAGTGTGTATGTAACAAGGGTACTAGCTGCTGTCAGAAGCTGGAAACAAAGTGAAAATGGGTTTTTGACTAGATGAGGCTTGCAGCTATTCACAGCTCTTCTTTCCGTCCAGGTCTCCGTCCCTGGATGGTGCAGTTGCAACTGTTTCTGTCCTTGCCAGTATAAGCTGATAAAGGAAGGGATCTGATTGGCGCACTGTGCCTGTCATGCCCTTGACTGGGAGCTTGTTCTCACGTCGCAGAAGACGTTCTTCTGTACATGCAGACTGGTGACTTGAGAACACGAGTCCATTCTGAGCATAATCCATTTTGTTAGTTTGGGTAATATGACATATATATTAATAATAATTATATTAATTAATATGGACAAGAAAAGAGAGGATATAGATTGAGTTTTCACAGGCTAATGAGGTGATAGATGTTTTAAAACTCTATTTCCCCGCCTCTTTCCTTTCTTCCTCTCTACCCCACCCCACTTCCGGCTGTTCTTTTAAATGGAAAGGCCTGCACATTTTCAGCTGCTGAAATGCCATGGTTTATTTATTGGACTTGGGATCAAGAAAACGTTTTGTCTGTTGATTACTCCTCTTTCCTCTCCCCCTCCTCCCTTAAAAACAAAACAAAACAAAAAAACACAACAAACCCTTTTTATTATAGTAAGTCCTGAACATATGTAAGGGTAGGAAGAATAGTTTAATAAACCACCTTGTACCCCTTGCCCAGTTTTGACAACTACTAACACTGAACAATTTTGTTTTATTTTTCTTCTCCCTGTGGCCAGGATATTTTAAACACATTCCAGATATCCTAACATGGAAATGCATTCTCAATTGTTAACAACAAAGTAGAGATTGGGATCTAGGGAATTCTGGGATTGGTATCATTGCAAACCCAAGTTCTCAAACACATTTTAATTTGTATGCACTCTTGTTCTTTGTACACAGAGTGGCTATCAGTGTAGTCACCAGTAATGGTGCACATGTGTCAACACATAATGCTCCTGGAATGGCAAAAGGCAACATTCTGCGAGGCTCATGGGCTGAGCTAGTATCCGCCCTCTTGATTAGATAGGGGCTCCTTTTGGCCCCAGCCATTCGTGTTCTTTGGGCAGTGATCTCTTGTTTCACGTGCTCTGTCGGGATTTCTTTAGTCCCTGGCAGCCGTGATTGATATGCTTCTGTGTGCCGTGGACACGAAAAACAGAGGAATGTGGCAGCCTGGTCAAGGGAGAAGAACATCCATTGGGAGTTAGGAAATAAGAATTCTAGGCTCAGCTCAACAATACACCAAGCCTCCTTTATAACGGTTTGTAGCTCAGTATCTTCACAGAATGAAATGGTAGAGACCTGTGCCATCCACCATTGTAGCCGCTAGCCACATGCAGCTAATGAGCACGCACCCCTTGGCTACTCTGCATTGAGATGTGTTGGGTAGCATGCCCACAAGATTTTGAAGACTTAGTATATAAACGGACAAAAAAAGAAGAGACCAATATGGTGAAGTATCTCAGTATATTATCTCATTGATGCTATCTTGAGACAAAGGAGCTCAGGTGGCGTAGTCATGAAGAACGTGGTGGCTAATTGAAACGTTGGTGGCTTGAACCTGCCAGCTGCTCCTTGGGTGAAAGATGTGGTAGTCAGCTTCCATAATGAATTAAGTCTTGGAAACCTATGGGGCTGTTTTATTCCTTCCTCGGGTCACCAGGAGTTGGAATCGACTCACTGTCAGTGGGCTTGGTGTTTGGCACTTCCCATGTACGGTGCAAAGCCACCAATCTGGGACCCAGCTAGCACGCTGGCTCAGCCCCCTGAATCAAGTCACCATATTCTTCTTGGCTGAGTGCCCACTGTTGGACACTGTGGACTTTCAGAGAGAGGTTTCAGAGTTGTGAGGGGCTGTGTCTGGTATACCCGGTGTGAAGGGGATAAGGGAGCTCATTTTATAGAAGTTACTTCGCCCTCCCTTCCTCTGATCATGAAGTCCTGCTGAGCCCCTTTCTCTGTGCTTCCCTGTTGACCTTGAAGTCAGGTTTCTCCCTCTATTTCTTGCTGTAGGTATATGTGGCGGCCCCTGGAGTCTCTGTCTCTATTCTTGCACATCTGGCTGCCCAGGAAAGTATGATTACATTTGCTATCACACTCCTGCTGAGGCTGCTGTGAGCTTCAGAGCATCCTCAGAATGAAGTTTGGTCTTTGGCTGAGCATACAGCATCGTTTAGGCCCCTGCTGTCTAGCCTTCCCTGACTGCCGATTGCAGTACATCGTGGCTTGATATCGTGGTAGACATTTGCTAAGAGAATAAGGGCCTTCTCTGTCGGCGCTCTATTGGAATGCTCCTCCTCGCATTACTATAATTACTTACACCTTTTCTGCTTTCCCACACTGCAGTGTGATTGACTGCCTTGTTCTCTGCTGTTAGCTGTCACCCGTTGTTTCCAGTTTAGGCTGATCCCTGTGTACAGAGTCTGGTTGCCCCATAAGACTTTCAAAGCTCTGATCTTTGAGAAGGAAATTGCCAGACCTGGTGGGTTTGAACTGCTAACTTTTCAGTTAGTAACTGAATGTTTAATCATTTGTGTCACTCAAGGTCTTAAACTTTTCTCTACGTTCTAATATATTTCCTATCCTGGGCATG